ACGGAGACACTGGTCTTGGGGATGTTGCAGAGAAGCCCAGACACCTGCTTCCTGTCTGTTTGAGCTGGTTTTTCCGGCTGAGGAGCTGCAGAAAAGCTCTTATGCTCCTGCCCTGGGTCCCTGGTGGTATCTCAAGAGAAAGGTTTGGGTCTACGGTTAAGGGTAGCTTAAATGTCCACACAGGGGGCCCCATAGGGTTAGACCTTGTTGCTGTGAATCCCTAAGAGGTAGAATTGGTAGATTCTAGGTTTTGCTTGATGCTTGCACACACACAACATGCATGCACACACACAAACCACAGACAGAATGTGAGCCCTGGAGGGGCCATGGACACTTTCAGCCTTTGAATCTGGTTTGCTCCAGGACACAGGGCCCAGAGACAGATGGTGTGGGGTCTGTTACTACTGGCCCAAACCTCACAAACCAACTGCATAATGCTTTTGGTTTCAACCCTGTCTGTGGTCCATCTAACTGAAAAATGCTAGCGCAGTTTCCAGCCTTACTCAGTAAACAGAATATATTGAATAAAAGCATCATGTTCTTTGATGATTCCAAACCTAGCAGGGTCTCGATGGTTGAAAATATCCATTTTCATTCACACACTGGATGCATAAACAGCTCCAACCAGAGCTTACGTGGGCCAGGCGGTCACGTCAACAGTGACGTGGGAAGGCCTAGATTCTTTAAACATACTTTGCTTGCATATTCCAAACACGAGAACAGTCTTCCTGTTCATAGATGGGTTGGTTCTCGCCTGTTTCTCTTGAAACATTCAGTCTTTGAGTCTCACTTTGCATTTCCCACTTTTGAAAGAGATGTGAGTTCAAGAACTATTTTTCTGGTCTTTTCATGGGTGAAGGGAAAAAGGAAAGCAACTCAGTTGATGATGAAGTCCAGCCTGTGGGGCCAGCACCGTTATACAACTATAATGACTACTGCCTGCTTTTGGGGAGCACTTTCTGCGTCAGGCACTGTGTTAAGGCCCTGACAAGCAATGTTCCCTCTAATCCTCCTAACTGCGCTATGAAATAGGTACCAATACTGGGTCCCTTTTAGGTGCAGACACTGAGATGCAGAAAGCTGAGGCAACATGTGCCGATTCAAATGGCCCATCGGTGGTGGCAGAATCTGCAGCCAGGCTGTCTGCATCCAGGGTCTCAAAGAGGCTACTGGTCAGTAGAGACCAATGAATCTGGCTGGCGGTTAGAGCCAGACAGCTGACCTGGACAGGCGATGTCAAATCACAGACAGCTCAGAGCAGCCAGGGTGGGTGAACGCTGCCCTTGGATATACACCCAGGTTTTCAGAGTTTCATAGCAGCTTCTGACTTGGGCACTCCCGCCCCTTCGAGAAGGCTCCTAAGTTTGCTCATCTTTCCTGGGAGGGGAGAAGTTGTGGTTTTGGAAGCTACAGATGGAGTGGCAGATGGGAAGTGAAAGTCTATCAGAGTTGCCCAGGATAAAACCATTCATCTGCAAAATTCATATGTTTTTGTGTGGGGCGACTTCACGAAAACAACAGCAAGAGGAACCAGCAGTGCCTGACGCGTGAGGTGCCTCTGGCCATGATGCTGGCAATGCGAGTGGGTGGAAGAACTGGTGGGGGTGGGGGGTGGACACGGAAATGAGGGCTGTGGGAGGCGGAGGCGGAGGAGAGACAGCTCGACAGGGATGGCTAGACAACCGGAGCAACAAAGCTAAAAACATGACGACTCCCTTCTCTGAACCCCCAAATGGGTGGGGCACATGGTCTGAGAAAGGATTTCTGGACCTTTCTGGAGATGAGGAGGCTCAGCCTTGGATCCAGCTCGAGGATTAGGAGCTGATAGGGAGGCGGAGGCGGAGGAGAGACAGATCGACAGGGGTGGCTAGACAACCGGAGCAACAAAGCTAAAAACATGACGACTCCCTTCTCTGAACCCTCAAATGGGTGAGGCACATGGTCTGAGAAAGGATTTATGGACCTTTCTGGAGATCAGGAGGCTCAGCCTTGGATCCAGCTCGAGGATTAGGAGCTGACAGGGACTGAGCTAAGTGCCCAAACTCTCTAGGTTGCATGACCACAATCTGATTTCACAAAAGGTGACTCATTGGAAAAGACCCTGATGCTGGGAGGGATTGGGGGCAGGAGGAGAAGGGGACGACAGAGGATGAGATTGCTTGATGGCATCACCGACTCGATGGACATGAGTTTGAGTAAACTCCGGGAGTTTGTGATGGACAGGGAGGCCTGGAGTGCTGCGATTCATGGGGTCGCAAAGAGTCGGACATGACTGAGCGACTGAACTGAACTGAACTGTGTTTACTTGTCAGGGTCACCTACAAGTGAGGTGGAAGAACTCAGAGTCTAGACTTAAGCCCTCATATGGGAGTCTGAGCACTCATCTTCTTGGATACTGAAATGCTAGAAGTGCTGATCTCCTGGACCAGCTGACCTGGCTAAGTGACCGCTGTTAACTGCAACTTGCAAATCAACACGGGGCCTATAGGGGGCAGCGTTGAAACTTGATGCGATTCTTCTGGGAAAGGTCACAGGCTGGCCCACCTGTCCTTGAGAGGTCCTGGTCAAGTGTCACCTTCTGACTGAGGCTGACATGACCTCTGAGGCCTCCACGGGAGGTCTGGAGCCAGGGGAGTGGGAATCTTGACCTTTGGAGGGAGTGTCTGCCACGCCAGCAGCTGTGTTCAACCTTCTGGGGTATTTCTGAACACACTCCTTCTTCAGAAGGGAGAGGGAGAAGGCTCCAGCTCACCGTCGCCTTGTACTTCCCTATACTCATCTCTCCTCCTCGTTTTGTTTATTAGGTCCCAGCCATGTTTAAATTTCTCGAAGGCAAGTAGTTCATCTCTGACCCAAGTCCAGGCTGTTCTCTCTCTCAGGAACTGGAGCGTTCTCAGCTGGAGGCAATTTTGCTCCTCCAGAAACACAGCACCTGGAGGTATATGTGGTTGTCACAAGTGGTTGGGAGCAGGAACCACTATTGCATCTATTGGGTAGAGGCCAGGGGTGCTTCCAAACACCAGCAGTGAACATGGCAGCCTCATGGCAGCGAATGATCCGGCCCCAGGTCACATTGGTGATTTTCCCAGGTGGCACAGGTGGTCAAGAACCCACTTGCCAATGCAGGAGACAGAGCAGATGCGGCTTCGATCCCTGGGTTGGGAAGAACCCCTGGAGGAGGGAATGGCATCCTACTGCAGTATTCCTGCCTGAAGAATCCCCATGGACCACCACAGAGGAGCTGTTGGGCTATAGTCCCTAGTGATACAGAACTGGACACCATTGAAGTGACTTAGCACTCAGGCAATCATATTGACATTAAATTCCAAGAGAGACTTTATCTTTTAGATATGTTTACTGAAATATTTGGGGCTTCCCAGGTGGCTCAGTGGTAAAGAACCCAGCTGCCAAAACAGGAGTTACAGGAGACGTGAGCTCGATCCCTGAGTTGGGAAGATCCCCTGGAGGAGGAAATGGCAACCCACTCCAGTATTCTTCCCTGAAGGGTCCAATGGACAGAGGAGCCTGGCAGGCTATAGTCCATAGGGTCACAAAGAGTTGGACATGACTGACCGACGGAGCATGAACGCATGCACTGAAATATTTACAGATACAACTATATGACCTCTTAGAAATGCTTCACCAGGGCTGGTGGAAGAGGGTCAAGGTCTTTATTGGTATGAATACAAGATGAATTGATTATAGTTGAAACTGGGTAACGCAGGGATCATTATACTAGTCTTGTATTCTTGTGCATGTTTAAGAATTGGCTTGATAAAACACCTTTTATGAGACTCCTTCATCTAGCTCTTCTGGAAATACTGTACCCAGCACTATCAGAGCAAGGAAGGCCTTCTCGTTCACCCCGTCCACTTCTCATTTTTGGCCTTTCAATAAGCAAGATGGGAGACACAGTCAAGCAAAGAGCTGCCTTCTTGATAGGAAATATAGTTCACTTTGTTGCCTTTTTCCCTCCCTTTAAAGAGATCTCCAGGGGCTTTCTTTGCTTACACCTCCTTTAAAGAGTAGATCAATGCTTGTGCAAAGGGACAGAGTGGCATCTGAATTTCTCACCGCCCCAGGGCTGCTGGTCGCTCCGCCACCCGCACATAATTGCGGCTGAGTAGCCTACAGACCCTGGAGAGGACCTCAAGAGAAGCTAGAGATCTGCACTTTCAGTTGAAATCTACCAGTCATAGAATGTGGGCAATCAATTCATGTGTTAAAATGGGATAGGAGCCAAACAAACCAACCCACAGGATTCCAACAGCCCAGAGACGCCTGTTTGATTCTGCCCAGGCTGTCACACCCCCCTCCCTTCTTCCACCTTGTCCCTTTCAGTTTAACATCTAAGTCAGACCTTGACCTTCCTCTGCTCCAAACACAGAGTGTGGTTCCCATCTTCCTTTGAGTAATGGCCAGATTCTAGACCCTCCATGATCTGACCTCAGTTCCAGCCACACTGAGCCCTGTTGTTCCTGGAACACATCAGGCATCCTCAGAGCTCAGCACCTGTGCTGCCCTCCGCTGGACCATTTTCCCTGCCTGGGCAGCTCACTCCATCACCATCTTCCATTCTTCTGCGGAAGGATGTTCTGGCCATTCTCATTAGAATTCCACCTCCCCCCTGCTCCTGCTGCTTTCTGCCTTATGTTTCCAATGTACCATTTTAAATACTTAGTTTGCGTGTTGTCTGTTTCCCCCATTTGAATGGAAGCACTTCATGGCCAGGGGTTTCAGCCTTTGAAGTGTGTTCTCAAACAGAGCTGGGAAAACCATGTACTCAAGAAATCTCTGTTGAATGAAAGAATGAGTGAATGCTCACATGATTCTCAAGCACAACGTGGCCCTCATGTAGAGAGACCTTACAGAGACAGTGGGTAAGCATCTCAGAGGCAGGAAGACTCCTCCAGACGGGAGGCAGGCTGCTTCTGCCTCTGGCTTCCCAGATATGATAGGGGAAGCAGGACCTCAAAGCAGGCTGGCCAGGGCCGCCTTACCTGATGGGGTAGTCAGCTGCGCTGAGGTTGATGAAGAAGTCCCAGGGCCAGTCGGTCATTTCCAGAAGGTCCCGCATGCTCTGAAGGTATGTGGACAGGAGGCTGGCTCCCCCCCAGATGGTGGCCATCCTCCAGGGCGTGATGCGGACGTTCCTGTACTGCCTGGCGAACTGAAGCACTTGGCGATGCAGGTAATTGGAGCGCTTTCCCAGGAGAGGAAGGGTGACATTCAGCAGTGCGGAAAACACCCCAGCCCTGCCCCTTACCCCCTCTCTATCCCTTCCCTTCTAGGTGACAGGGCTTCCGAACTTTGCCACGTAACTGATTCAGACCCGGGGTGTCTTTCTTCATCGTTACACAAACTTCATTATTTTTAAAGTATTACTTTAGCAATTTGAGGTGCAGATTCCCTGGTCCTGCCTCTGCATTACTGGTTCCCCAGGTGTAGGCTGGTGCCTGGGTGTCTGCATTTTTCTCTAAGACTGATACATATGGTCTGAGGATAACAAGCTAAGTAATATGGTTGTATATAATATGGTTGCATTCCTAGTTCTTCCCTGGAGAAGAGAATGGCTACCCACTCCAGCATTACTGCCTGGAGAATTCCACGGACAGAGGAGTCTGGCAGGCTAAAGTCCATGGGGTCGCAAAGAGTGACTAACACTTTCATTTAAACCTGATGAGTATTTTGAAAGGTAGAATTTCTCCACTACCTTCAGGCAGGCTTGCTAGAATCAGACTTTTGAATAGGTATCCCCTTTGTCTTCCTGACCAAAGACATAATCATGTCACATTAGCAGACCAACAGAAATCTCTGGAATAAGATGCTCAGGGGTCAGCAAGCTGGATCCATGCTTTTTGTGTTTTTTTTTTTTTGGTAAATAAAGTTTTATTGAAACAGTCACACACATTCATTTGTGTTATGTTTTTATGGCTGCTTTCAGGCCACAATGCCAGAGCTGATTAGCTGCAAAAGAGTGTACAGACCACAAAGGCTGAAATACTTGCCCCCTGGCCCTTGATGAAAAAAGTGGGCCCGCCCCTGGGTGAGCGATCCTTATAGAGTGGCAGGCACTGCACTGGGCAGAACCATGAGCAAAAGAGGCAGGAATGACAGTGTTCATGGAGGAAGTCTAAAGTCACAGTTGGGAGCTTTGAAACCGACACCCACGTGCGTGTGCACACACACACACAGACACACACACACAGCCCTTCAAGACCAAATGGTCTGGGGGAGGCGGCTGCTCAGCCTGCAAGGCTCCCCTGAAAGGGAGGCCGGCGTGGAGAGGGGCAGACACAGCCCCAGAGAAATGCCAGCACGGGGCGGTCAGAGCGCGGGCCTCACCTTGTCCACGTGGATGTAGTAGAAGTGGTCCTGGTGGTAGATGGCCTTGAACATGCGCTGCAGCTGCCGAGAGGCGCGGCCGTGGACCACCAGCACGAAGGCGATTCGGACCGGGTTGGCCAGCATATACTCCACTGAATCCTCGTCCCACTGAACGTTCTTGTTGGCTTTGCCTGGGAAAACCAGAGAGATCGCAGAGGTGGGGTGAGTTCGGCTGTCCTCAGGGCGTGTTTCTCTGATGCTTCTTCCTGGGACTATTTGAGGGGCACAGTAGTCATGCTGGTCCCTGAAACTGGTTTCAACTTAACCAGGCAAGTCCTGGCCCCTGACTGTGTCCTGGTAAACAGGAGTGGGGGCCCCTGAGGAGCGAAAGACATGGTTTCCGTCCCCAGGGAGCCGAAGAGCACTGACGGAGACACGTGGACACATATTAAAGCCGGAGGAGAGGAGCCACGTAAGAGGTACATTTCTGAGCCACAGAGGAAGGAGCAGTTAATTTCAATTTGGGAAATGTTAAGATATACGTGCTGTTTTTGTTTGTCCAGAATCTACTCTTGTTTTTCCTCCTAACAGCATCTATTTTGTTTTTTTAATTGTGGAAAGAACAGATAACCTGAGAGCTACCCTCTTAACACATGTTTAATTGCTCAGGATAGTAGTGTGGATTATAAGTGATAGCTTACGGTGAACAGTGTGGGCTTCGTGATCTCGGAAGAAAATTTACCTTTGGGATCAGGGCCCAGGCTTGATCACTCAAGAGCTTTTGTGCAACAGAGTTTTATTAAAGTGAACAAAGGACAGAGAAAGTTTCTGTCATAGACATCAGAAGGGGGACGGAGAGTGCCCCCCTCGGCTAGTAAGGCCTTATATACTTTCATCAGACCCACTCCCACAACATACATCTGAAATTAACAAGATTAGAACTAACAATAGAAAGGTCTTACCAGACCCACTTCCACAGTATACAAGTCTTAAGATAACAAGATTAGTCAGAAGGTTAAGGAGAAATGTGTCCTCGAGCAAGATACACTGTTATATAGACTAAGACAAAGCAATGTAAGAAAAAAAAATTGTCCTTTTCTCCTCCTTGAGAGCCTGGGACAACTCTCTCTCCTTGAGAGCCCCAGACTCCTTTCTCCTCCTCGGGGACCCCAGATTTCTTACCAACCTACTAGGGAATTAACTCTCTCATAAGCACAATGTTGCAGAGCAGATCTCTAGAATTTATCCATCGTGCCTAATGAGAAATTTATCACCCAATATTTTGAGAGGCATCAACCTCCTCCAATCGCTGTGTGGAAGGAGAAGGTCTCTATCTGTTATCAATTTCAGGGGTGATCACAGGACTTAGACTTGGCCAGTCAGGACACAGGAGGTAAGGTTCAGAGTTAACTAAGCTATTTAGCCAGCAAGATAGAATTCCAGACTGTTGTTGGAACTAGATAAGAGTCTCAAAGTCCATGAAACTTGAAGATTCTAAGAGCCATTTTATCCCCCCATGGAGAGGAAAGGCAACACAGAGGGAAACTACTGAGTGAGAGGGAGGGTACAGATCCTTGTGACCCCACTTGAGCTCCCGGATCAGCCTGGGAGATCAGCTACGGTCATTGCTTATTCTTCTTTGAAAGCCCAGATCCTACACCAGATGCTCCTAGATAAACGGTTCCAGACATCTTTTATCCTGGTGTGTGTGTGCTCAGTCGCTTCAGTCGTGTCCGACTCTGCGATCCTATGGACTGCAGCCCGCTGGGCTCCTCTGTCCATGGGGTTCTCCAGGCAAGAATATGGGAGTGGGTTGCCATGCCCTTCTCCAGGGGATCTTCCCCACTCAGGGATGGAACCCGTGTCTCTTGCATTGCAGGCAGATTCTTTACTACTGAGCCATTGAGGAAGCCCCCTTTATCCTTGGAAGCAGTCTCAAAGAAGCCTTTTATCCTTCTTTCCCTTGCAAATGCCCCAGGGGCCAGGTTTCAGGGAGGAACACAGCTTACTGGTTCAGTTCATTATAATCCCAACCAGAAATCTCCCGGCTTTCCTGAAGAACTTTCTTTGGGTCTAATCTGATTTCTTGCAGGTTTTAGGTTTACGGGACTCAGCACAGAGCAGCTGCAGGTGTCTCTGAATACCAACTAGGAAAGCTGAGAACTCGGACTGTTCAGCCTGGAGGTCAGCAGATGGGGAGCCTGTCGGCTGTCGTTGGGAAGCTGAATGGCCACCACACGAGTGTGGCTCCTTCTGTGTTGCCCCAGAGGATGGGATGGGGATGAGATGAGGGTGGTCTGTGTCCTCATCACGTGGTACAGACTCCGCGGCCCTGCCTCCCACAGTTATGATTGCAGACCCCTGCACCCTGACTCCCCCGCCATCGACCTTGACCCCTGACCTTTTGTCTTTTCCTTGAGTAAGCTTGTCTTTGCCTCAGAACCTTTCCATGGCCATTCCTGCCCCCGGGGACACCCTCTCCCTCTATCTTCGTATACCTTTTCTTGCCACTAGTTCACAGGTCACAATCAGGCCACCTGCCCCCTACCAAGCACATCACTCTCTTTTGTCTCAACCTATTTTTATTTTCTGCATTGCATTTAACACTGTCTGGAATTATATATATATATATATACACACACACACACACACATATATATATGTATATATATTATTGTCTGGACCGCCAACTAGAACTAAACTCCAAAAGATGAGGGACTATTTCAGAATATTTGTCACTGAATACACAACATTATTAACAATATTTGGCACATAGCTGGTTTTTGGTGAAAACAAAAGTTACAGGAGGGTACATTTTAGTACCGTAACAATTACCTCTTCTTGAGCACTGAGCAGTCCTTACCATTAATTATTTCATTTAATCCTCATAACAACCCTGCAAGGTAGGGCCATTATCTCTGTTTTGCAAATGAGGAAACCACAGCTTAGAGAGGCCAAGGGATTTATTTGTTCAAGGTCCCACTGCTTTAATTAAGCTGAGATTCAAACCCAGGTCTGTTTCCAAAGCTTATGCCCTTAACCAGTAATATACACTATGTTACCATGCCCAGAATTTGTAAATGTTAATAACAATTCTGCTTAATGAAATATCCTGTAAATTAGCTATTGCAGATAGATAGGCATGTACTCGAAGACAGCAGAAGTATCGCAGAGAGGATTCCTGTGTTATGTGGAACTCCAGATAGCCAACAAGGTGACATCTTTCATTCAACCATCCATCCGTCCATTCATTCATCCATCCACTCAAATTCAACCACTCATCCAAAAAACCATTTAACTATCCACCTAGCAAAACATTCAATGTCTTATCATCCCCCCAGAAAAACCATCCATCCGTCCATCCATCCATCCATCCATGCATCCATCCATGCATCCACTCACCCATCATCCTCCAAGCAAATCATCCACACTTGCACTCTTCCAACCGTCTAATGATCAACTCTCTGAGCCATGCAATATTAATGCAGTATAGGCTAAGTTAATACTGCGTGGATCAGAGTTGATCATTAGATGGTTGGAAGAGTACATGCATGGATGGTTTGCTTGAAGGACGATGGGTGAGTGGATGGATGGATGGATGAGATGTATCCTTATTGGCCACCTAGAGTTAGCCTCCCACATGATACAGGAATCTTCTCTGCAATGCCTCTGACAGTCCTCCAGTGCATGCCTATCTACCTGCAATAACTAATTCACAAGGTACCTCATTAACTAAGCAGAATTGTTATAAACATTCCCAAATGGAAGAGAGAACGGTAACCCACTTCATTGTTCTTGCCTGGAGAATCCCATGGACAGAGGAGTCTGGTAGGCTGCAGTCCATAGGGTCACATAGAGTTGGACATGACTGAAGCAGCTAAGTACACACACATTCATATACTACATGCCACATACTATGCTAGGTACTAGAAAAATAAAATTGGAGGAAAAACTCCTCCCTTGAGGAGCTTGCAGCCAACTAGGATACATGGAAGACAATGCTCAACTGCTTTATGAAAGATGTGTGCCCTTGGAGGGTGGGGAAGTAGTGAAGAGTAGGCCCGCAGAGACAGAGGAGATCTCAGAGAGTTCAGCTCAAAGCTTCTGAACCCATTTCCCCATGCTCTCCTGATGTCCTACCCTCTTTGGCTCCTGACTGTTCCATCAGGAAATTCAATCCTGGGGATAATTACCATCTTGGCTCTGGTTGAAGACAAGCTAGGCAGCAACCACAGAGATATCCTAACCTCCCTCTATTCTTCTCTCCAAACCACTCACAAATACGTTTGCCTTTCCTGGTGGTTGTACAGGAGAAGTGTGCCTGAAAGAATCATGTCCCTTTAAACACTCACACAATAAACTATCCATTTCATTCATCCATCCACCCATCCATTCATTCACCCATCCGTCCACCCAACCACCCAGAACCCTTCAACCCTCCCACTTGCCAGTCTAGGACAAAACTTTGAGCACAAAAGCATATGGGACATGAGCCTGTCTTCACACATGGATTATGAGTGGATTAAGGAATGTGAGACTCCAAAGTAAAAAGATAATAAGAGAAAAGCTTATATTCTCTTTCTCACAACTGCAGCCCAAAGGCAGTGCACAGGTCATGGCAGGGCCGGCTGTAACCTCTCTTCACCTCCCTCAGAGACTCTTTATTGAACAAGGGAGGGAGATTAAAAACAATGGCTATTCATGTCACTTTTTTCTACCTGAATTTCTTTGGGTGATGTTTCAAAGGTTTAAATGTGGTCCGGACACACTGTTTCATAGGAATTCCACTCTGTAGGGGTTCCTGCTGGCACTCAGATAATACTGCTCATCTCTGACCCAGGGTTTCTGGGTAACAATGACCTGGAGCTCCTAGCAAGGGAGGCTTCTGGGGCCTTTGGAGACAGCCATGCTCACCAGCCAGGGATGTCTCTTGCCCTGTTGTTGAATGAGTGAGCGAGTGAATCCATTCTGGAGGCAGTCTGCTCTGGTCCAGAGGAGCTGATGTCTCCTGAGTGCTGGTGCCAGGGCCTATGTGTGGGTCATTACTCGGCTCTGGGAGGAAAACACTGTCATTCTCGAGACTTAGAGAGGTCAGTGCATTTCCCAAGTCACATGGTAAGGGAGGACAGAGGCGAAAGTGTGAACCCAAATCCAGCCCTGCTCCTTCCACCCGCCCTCTGCTGTACTGATG